TCAAGTGCTTGGGCCCTGCACCCCATGGGAGACCAGGATAAGTACCTGGCTCCTGCCATCGGATCAGCATGGTGTGCCGGCCGCAGCGTGCCGGCCACGGCAGCCATTGGAGGGTGAACCAACGGCAGAAGGAAGACCTTTCTCTCTGTCTCTCTCTCTCACTGTCCACTCTGCCTGTCACAAAAAAAAAAAAAAAAACCAAAAACAAAAAAAACAAAAACTGTCTGCACCTTAATGTTTATTGCAGCTCAATTCACAATAGCTAATTTTAAAAAATTCTTTTTGTCCTACTTAATACCATTGGTTGGACTCTTTAATTAACACACAATTATTCTTAGGTGTTTAAATTTAACTGAAAAGTGATCCCTGTTAAATATAAGAGTGGAAATAACAGAGGGAGGAGATGTGCAGTTTGGTATATGCTCACTTGTCCTTACCCCTAGTGGTAGAGCTAGAAACGTGCCAGGGGATTCCAAATCAATCCCATCAAGGTGGCATGTACCAATGCCATCTCACTAGTCAAAGTGATCAGTTTCAGTTCATAATTGATCATAATGATAGGATTAAGTGTCAAAAGGATCACATAAACAAGAATAGTGTCTGCTAATAATAAATAATAGAATTAAAAAGGAGAGAATGATCCAGTATGGGAAGTGGGATACATAGCAGACTCATAGAATGGTAAAGCCCTAAACAGCACTCTGGCCTCAGAATCAGCCCATAAGGCATTCAGATCTGGCTAAAAAGCCCATGAGAGTATTTCAGGCATGGAAAGCCAAGACACTTTGGCAAAAGAAAAAAAAATGACCTAAATGAAAAATCTCTGTGAATGAGATCCCAGTGGAAAGAGTGGGTCATCAAAGAAGGAGGTAACTTTCTTTCAAGGGAGGAGAGAACTTCCACTTTGATTATGGCCTTGTCTAAACAAGGTCAGAGTGTGTGAACTCAAGAGGCTTCCATAGCCTTGGCAGCTCATGACAAGAGCCTTGGGTGATTACTGACATCATAAATAAGAGAGTCAATTGTTAAATCAACGACAGGAGTCATTGTGCATTTTTACTCCCCATGTAGGATCTCTGTCCTTAATGTGTTGTACTATGTAAATTAATAGTGAAACTAGTACTGAAACAGTAGTTTATACTTTGTGTATTTGTGTGGGTTCAAACTGTTGGAATCTTTACTTAGTATATACTAAGTTGATCTTCTGTATATAAAGATAATTGAAAATGAAAAAAAATAAACATGTGAATTATTTTGCAAATAGCATATACTCAGCAAATTACATCTGTCATGAATATCATCTTTAGACTGATGTTCAGTGATATCTGCTTTATCTTATAAAGCTTTATACTTTCCTGTGGAAAACTGTGAATTGTCTATCAACTCAAATTAAGTTAGGACAAATACACTGTGGTGGTTTTGGACTGTATTAACTAAGCTAAGATGGAGCTATATTTTCTAGTATTTCCTTCTTAGTCAGTCCTGATGCTGAAAATGAAAGAAATTTGTGTAGTAGGCTCTTAGGCTCAGGTGCAGGGCACCATGTTAGTGTGGGGCATCACTCAGAACCTTAACAACTCCAATTTCTGCTGTGTCCTCTTTCAGCCTCTTGGGTCTCATGTAGAACCTTAGTGAAGGGCACTGGTGACTACTGCAGGTGATCCATGTTAGTGGTTGGAGGTGGAGAGGCAGATGAAGATTCCAATTTGTCTTCCTACCTTTTTCACTCATCTACAATTGAGCTTTCTTTCCAAACTGCTGGCTTGACTAACCCATAGAGACTTCAGGCTTAAAATCAGATGCAGAGACACTGCATTGATTTTTTCACTTGTTTCCATAATTGTATAAGGTCTAAATCTCTAATTCTGTGTTACTTAGGGTAGAAACTGTTTTTCTGACTAAAGTCCGTTACATCCAGATATTGGAATCATAAGTATTTCCAGAGGAATTTAACTGTATGAATGAGTTTTCTAACTGATTTGGATAATCTAGAAATGGTTCTTTGCTTTGATTAGATTTCAGGGCCACTGATGAAGAGTGCACTGGTAATCAGTGGTACATAAAGGAAAAACAGTTACCTAAATTATATAATCAAGTAGTCACACAGGAAAAGGTTCTGATCAAACAAGTAGTTGCTGACAGAACACATTAGTGAAAAAGGAGTATAATGAGACTTCCTAAGTATACTGGAAAACTTGAAGAATGAATAAAGAACTCAGGGGAGGGCATTTGGTGCAGTGGTAGTCACTGCTTACAACATCTGCCATATCTCCTTTGCCAGTAGAAGTGTTCCTTCCAACTTATTTAGGAAGGTATGTTTATTTTGCCAGAAAAATTAGTAATGGGAAGGACCTGCCTTGCAAGGGATAGGTGATTGTCCTCAGCAGTTACCCTATCATCACTCATTGCTTCTAAATCTATAGTCAGACTTATCTATTTTGCTGTAGAGAATGACATTATTTGTGGGGCCAGCATTATGATGCTGAGAGTTAAGTCATTACTGTGCCAGCAGCATCCCATATGGGCACAGGTTCAAATCCCAGCTGCTCTACTTCCAAACCAGTTCCCTGATAGTGTGCCTGGAAAAGCAGCAGAAGATGGCCCAAGTGCTTGGGCTCCTGCTACCCACACGGGAGACCAAGATGGAGTTTCATGCTTCCGGCTTTGGCCTGTCCCAGTTCCCACTATTGTGGCCATCTGGAGTAAGCCAATGGGTGGAAGGTCTCTGTGTCTGCCCCTCTCTTTATGTAACTCCATCTTTCAAATAATTAAAATCAACCATTAAAAAAGGACATTATTTGTGAGGAGGTAGAATATACCAAAATAATTACTTGATTTTGCCACTTTTACATAGACAGAGGTCTGGGCAGTGTATGTGAGAATAGATCCTAAGGATCCTCTTTCTGTGTAAAAGTGGCAAAATGTTGGGTTAGTCCAAATTTACCAATATGGACTCATGTTGAATACTTATCAATTTTCTGGATTTAGTGTGGTAGCTTGAGAGATGAATTGATATTAAATTTTACCAAATGCCTCTTCTCTACCTATTAAGAAGCCCTCATACTTTTTTTCTTTTAATATGCTAGTGTGGTAAATTACATTTGCCAATTTTCTAATGTTATACTAACTTTGTATTTCCAAGTTAGAGAAAAACTGGTAACTTTTGTTGCTGCTGTTGCTAGTTCTTTAAGACTATTAGTAGATGCCTTTTGTAATTCATCTATCTATGGTAGAGGGTTGATCCAAATTGGTGGTAGAAATTCTCCTTCATTCTAAATAAATTTCATCACAGCACATTCTACCAAAACTTATCTTATCATGGTTAACAAGGATCCTCATATGGTACCAAACTGAAATGTACATTCTCAGTACTCTTCTTATTTAATCAGTTCATAGCTGATTATAAAATAAAAATCAGCTCTTAAACAAAGTACTTCAGAGTATATTGTCTTCACTCAACCTGAATCTGAAATCAGGATTTGCCACTCTTCTAACTTTGTGACTCTGAATAAGTTCTTTACCCTCCCTTGGTCTCAGCTTCCCTATCTGCAAAACATTATATACTTTGTAGGGTTGTTGTGAAGACTAAGTACATGTAGCTTACTTGGAACAATGTACACATTAAGTATTCAATAAATGTAATAAATTCTTGTTTATTCCCTTTATGAACATTTTTTTCGATTTATGACTTGATTCCTACTTCTCTGGATATTCTTTCTCAGTCTTTTTAGGTAGAATCTTCATCTCCCTAAACTTTAAATTTCAGATTGAAGTCTTCAGCCTCATTTCTCTGCATATATTTTTTTCACCTTATTCTCAACCCATGACTTTAAAAATCATATGTATGTTAATGCTTCCCAAATTTGTAGCTCCTGTTGCAAGTGTTTCCCTGAACATCAAACTTAAATACAAAACTGACTAGTTAATATCCTGACTTAAATGTCTTTTGGGCAGTTCATACTGAACATGGACCGAAGCAAACTTTTTGATTATCTTCAGCCCTTCAATCACCCAGTCCAAGCCAGCACCATTTTACACTTGATTACTATAGTACTAGTCTCATTCTCCCTTCTTCCACTCTTTTTCCTCTACGGTTTCTTCTTCTTCTTCCTCTTCTTTTTCTTTCTTTTTTTTTTAATAACAGTATTAGGTTCAGTACAGTCTTTTCTTTGTGCAGCAAACAAAGTTACAGAGCATTGCTCAAAGCTCTCCAAGCTCACTCCCCTCTTGAAATTCTTAAGTTTCCTATTTTATTCTTTTTTTTTTTTTTTTTTTTTGACAGGCAGAGTGGATAGTGAGAGAGAGAGAGACAGAGAGAAAGGTCTTCCTTTTGCCATTGGTTCACCCTCCAGTGGCCGCCATGGCTGGCGCGCTGCAGCCAGCACACTGCGCTGATCCGAAGCCAGGAGCCAGGTGCTTCTCCTGGTCTCCCATGGGGTGCAGGGCCCAAGCACTTGGGCCATCCTCCACTGCACTCCCTGGCCACAGCAGAGAGCTGGCCTGGAAGAGGGGCAACCAGGAAAGAATCCGGCGCCCCGACAGGGACTAGAACCCAGTGTGCCGGCGCCGCTAGGTAGAGGATTAGCCTATTGAGCTGTGGCGCTGGCCCCCATTTTATTCTACACAGAATCTCAAGTTCTTTATGAGGAAAGATTGGAACACCTTTTCTGAAAGGACCACAGAACAAATATTCTAGGGTTTGCAGGCTAAACTGATTTTCTCACATCTATAGAACATTATTTATGATATACCTGTATGTAAATAGCATTAAAATTCAAAGACGCCATGTCTAACAAAAATCACTGTTTTGTGAAATTTATAAAAATGTACATTATTTGTTTTGATTTATATTCCTTAATATTTTTACAGTAGTTCAATAAATATTTGTTGCATAAAAATATGAGCTGCATAATTACTTACAAAAACATTACAGTAAGAATAGTAAACTCTAAGCTAAATTTCTCCCGTAAAACACATCACACAATTAACAGTGAACTTACTTTAGATTATTGATTCTAATTTCTGCACTTTCAGTAAGTGTCTTTGTTTCCTCTTTCCATCTATTGGCTGCTTTCTGTTGGGCTGCTAAGAGGTTCCTTAGTTCAGCAGTGGAATTTCGATTACTGTCTTCCATCTCTCTCAACTGAACTTCAAATCCATGTTCCTTTAGTGAAAATTCATATTCCATTGTACTTATCTAAGGAATAAAATGAACAGTTTCTTATTTCCCCCATTAGTTTAAGAGTTATCCTAATCAATGATACATACAAATGGAATAATTTGGTATGTCATCTGAGGCACAGAAATATTTAGCTGAGAAATCTCATGTAAGAAATTAAGTTTATAATTTATCTGTTTTGAAAATGAAGATTTATCCTTATTAGCACATCAATTTAGTGAAACTAGAATTATGATGGACTATAATTTTTTGTAACACTTTCCTCAATATCTTAAAATGCCAGTAGGATAAAAATATTATACCTAACATGAAATTGCTCTCTTTATTCTTATTTCTGTTGGCAGAATCCATATAAAGTGCTCATGCTTTTAGAAATTGAGATATTTTTACTCAAAGTCCTTTCAGACTGTGTTTCAAAGGGCTTTGTAGAGTCAAAGTAAATTATATATGGGAATTCCTTTATCACTTCAGCTGTGATTGTAATAAATGATGTATATTTTTTTTCAGGAAAAATAGTGTAATTATTTTTAGGATATCATATGTAAATGTCTTCATTATATTTCTAGGAATTTATAATAGTAAAAACACTTTAATGCAGAATCAACATTTAAGTAAATGCCTTAAGACAGTCAATGCATATAACTGCCTTCTTGTATGCATTTAGAATGATACTACCTAGGTATGAGTCTTGGGGCAATTGAGAAAATAATTATTGGAATAATTTTCTGTGATCTGTGGTTCAGATGAGAAACTTTGGTGTGAAAAGGCTGTAAGGTGATCTGCCTTCTTTGGTTACTCTCAGACCATTTTTTATCCTGCTATATCAAAGAAATACTATAAAGAATACTTATTTTGTGATTTTTAAAGTAATATGCTTTAAAAATGGTTACAGCTGGCATGGCTTCTGGTAATTCATTAAATATGGCTAATTTCAAACTCAAAAAGCAATGAATAAGAAACTCCATCAATTCTAAATACATCAATGAAACTCAACAACAAAATCGGGGGCCCATTGGGAAAAAGCTACAGACATTCTATCTTTGCCACTCCTTCTAAATGCAACATGCTTTCCTAAACCTCTTTTTTGTTGTTGTTGTTTTTAAAAAATTATCTATTTGAAAAGCAGAGTTACAGAGAGAGAGGGAAACAGAAACAGAATCATCCATTTGCTAGTTTACTACTTTCCAAATGGCTATAATGGCTAGGGTTGGGCCAGGCCAAAGCCAAGAGTCAGTAGCTTCACCCAGATCTCCCACATGGGTGGCAGAGGTCTAAGCACTTGGGAAATCTTCAGCTGCTTTCCCAGACACATTAGCAGGGAGCTGGATTGGAAGTGGAACAGCTGGGACATGAATCAGCCCATATGGGATGCCAGCATTGCAGGCAGCAGCTTAACCTGCTGTGTCACAGCACCAGCCCCTAAACTCTTTTTTTAGAAAACATTTATTTAATAAATATAAATTTTGAAAATATAATTTTGGATTATAGTGGTTTTTTCCCCCCATAACCACCCTCCCACCAGCAACCTATCCCATCTCCTACTCCTTCTCCCATCCCATTCTTCATTAAGATGCATTTTTAATTATATTTATATACAGAAGATCTACTTAGTAAATACTAAGTAAAGATTTCAACAGATTGCACCCCCACAGACATACAAAGTATAAAGTACTTTTTGAATACTAGTTTTACCAATAATTCGCATAGTACAACACATTAAGGACAGAGATCCTACATAGGGAATAAGTGCACAGTGACTTCTGTTGTTGATTTAACAATTGACTCTCTTATTTATGACTTCAGTAATCACTCGAGGCTCTTGTCATAAGCTGCCAAGGCTATGGAAGCCTCTTGAGTTCACACACTCTGACTTTATTTAGACAAGGCTATAATCAAAGTGGAAGTTCTCTCCTCCCTTCAAAGAAAGTTACCTCCTTCTTTAATGGCCCGTTCTTTCCACTGGGATCTCACTCATAGAGATCTTTCATTTAAGTCATTTTTCACCACAGTGTCTTGGCTTTTCATGCCTGAGAAACTCTCATGGGCTTTTTAGCCAGATCTGAATGCCTTATGGGCTGATTCTGAGGCTAGAGTGCCTGTCTACAGGCCCTAAACTCTTAAATTTGCTTTATTAAATAGTATACAGTGAAAATTAAAGACTTATTGACACTGGAGAAACAACCTTGGACTTACTAATTTTGTGTTTATATTACTGCTGTGCAAATCTCTTGAGGTCTTGTTTTTTTTTTTTTAAATTAAAATTTATTTTCAGCTTATTTGAAAGGTAGTGAAATAGAGTAAGAGTGAGAATGAGAGTGAGAGAGATATCTTCTATTCACTGGCTCACTCCCCAAATGCCTGCAAGGGTTGGGCTAGCCAGAAGCCAAAACCCCAGAATTCCATGCAGGTTTCCCAAGTGTGTGGCAGAGACCCAAGTAGTTGAGCCATTATTGTTGCCTGCAGGGTGCCTATTAGCAGGAAGCTAAATTGGAAGTGGTGAAACTGGAATTCAAACCAGCACTCTGATATGGGATATGGTTGTCCCAAGCAGTGACTTATTTGCTGAGCCCAGCCCTACATTTCTTGAGGTCCTTTGATCCTGCTACCATCTTAGTAATCTTTTAATTATTACATTCTGCAAATTTAAATTTGAATCCAACCTTCTTACTTCTTTGCCTCAATCTTCATTTCTGGTTCTAACATCTTAGATGGAAAACAAAAGTCTTGCCTCTGTTTCTCTCTCACATACATGTTAAAAAACAAAAAACAAACAAACAAACAAACCTGTTCTGTGCATTCACACAGTTTTAGAATTTGGCCTGCCTAGTTAACTCCCTAAAGCCAGTTGGAAAATCTATTCATAATTTGGTAAGCCTTACTCTAAGGTTTTTTAGGGTAATCTGGTCCCTTCTTACTTCAACAAGTATGTGTTCCCTTTCTTTGTTTCCTTCTAATTTTTGGGTCTTTTTCATGTGTTTCTTTTTTCTTTCTTTCTTTTTTCTTTTTTGCCTAGAATATTCTTTCCTCTCTTCCTTATCTGAATTATTTTATCAATTTTTAGAACTCAGTTCAATTATTCTTCATACCGGGAAATTCTCTCACCATCTATATAGGTAAAGTCAAATTCTTTTATTATAAGCTCTTAACAGTGCCCTATACTTTTCCTAAAGAGCATGTATTAGTAATTATATGCTTACTGTTTGTCCACATACATGCAAATTATAAGCTTTTAAGGGTAGACGTTATATGTTTTGTTTACCATTCCATCTTTAGCACTTGGAACACAGTAAAAGACTGTCAAAATACATTCATAAATTGAATGAGTGATGACTGTTCTTTGTTGTCAAAATTCAGTCTTTAAACCCCAGAGCCTTTAGCTAATGAAATTCTACGGCTCAACTGGACAAATTTGGTTAGGGGTCAACTGGCTCTTCTAGTACAAAATTCCCATTAATAATGAAAAGCAGAAGATTGGTTAGGAAAGAGACTTAGGAGTGTGGTCTCCTTCCCTTCTTCCTTTGTGCCTTTCCTCTGCAGAGTAAAGCACAAGTAGGTAGTATTATTGGTGAAAACTACTCTATTTCTTAACTATAGAAACTTATAAGGGGGCATTTGGACCACAAAGAAATGGAAAGCCTGGGTAGAGAGAAACAAGGAATTAGGAAAAAAGACGGTAGGACTGCAGGAAATGCTTTGGGATCAAATGAAAACATCATACAATAAATTGTTAAGTTTGCAATCAACTGACTTCCCAACATCTTACTGTCTTTATTTTGGTCCATTTAGTTTATCTACTAAAGATCAAACTCTTCTTATAAGTGAATGGCCTTGCAGCTGGTATTGTGGCATAGAGGTACAGCCACCACCTGCTATGTTGGCATCCCATATAGGCACTGACTTGAGTCTCAACTGCTCCAGTTCTGATCCAGCTCCCTGCTAATGCACCTGGGAAGGCAGTGGAAGATGGCCAGTGTTCTCGGGCCCCTGCATCCATGTGGGAGTCTGGAAGAAGCTCCTGGCTCCAGGCTTCAGACTGGCCAAGCACTGGCCGTTGGGGAATGAACCAGTGGATGGAAGATCTCTTTTTCTGTCTCTGCCTCTCTCCTTCTCTCTCTCTCTCTCTCTCTCTCTCTGTAAAATCTGCCTTTCAAATAAATAAGTAATCCTTTAAAAAAATAAATGAATGGTCTTAATTTTTTGTCATATTCATTTAAACTATATTCCCTAGTATTTCTTGTTTAAACATTTAAAATGGTTTTAAAAATTTAAAATCTATCAATATTTTCATTTGTAACTTGTCCTATTTTTTTGTTTTGCTTAGAGAGTTCTTCCCCATCTTTTTGTTAAAATTCATCTACATTCCTCCTGGTATTTTATAGTATCATTTACAGTTTTAAATTGTTAACCTACATTAAACTTATGAAATTAAAGATATGAGATGAAGATACAACTTTTCACCAAAGTATATCAACTATTTTTAATCATAGAAAGATTCTAGTAAGGGAACTTTGAAGCATATACTAACAGAATATTATAATAAATTTCTGAATACCCACCACTCGGATTACATAATCATCAAACTCATAGCTATTTTTGTTTCATCTATACGCACATACTTTCCTTTGTCAAGATTTACCTTATGTTTACAATGTAGTGTGTAAGTCATAAGGGTACAAAACTCAACTGTTACATATAAACAGATATACTAAAGTTACCTCTGATGGCACTGCTCATGTATCCTTCTAATCAGTACCCACCCACCAGAAGCTAACCAGTCTTTGCCAAATGTCCTACATGAAGGACCTTGGTGGATGAGACCCCAGTGGAAAGAAGTGGTCATCAAAGAAGGAGGTACTTTTCTCTGAAGGGAGGAGAGAACTTCCACTTTGCTATGGCCTTGTCTAAATACCGAAGAAGTTTATGGATTCAAAAGGCTTCCATAGCCTAGACAGCTCATGTCAGGAGCCTCACGTGGTCACTGACTTCATACATAAGAGTGTTAATTGTTAAATTAACAACAGGAGTCACTGCGCACTAACTCCTCATGCAGGACCTCTGTCCTCAATGAGTTATGAGAGTTAACTGTAAAACTAGTTCTCACAGTTTTTATGTGTGTATGCAAATTGTTAAAATCTTAGTACAGAGTTGGTTTTCTGTGTACAAAGTTAACTGAAAATGAATCTTAATGGAGAATGGGACTGGCAAGGGGAGAGGGAGGAGGAAGAGGGGTAGGAGTATGGGTGGGAGGGCAGGTATGGTGGGAAGAATAACTATATTCCTAAAGTTGTACCTATGAAATTTGTATCCTTTAAAGAATAAATAAAAAAAAAAAAACTTAAAAAAGTATAGACACCACAAAGAAAAAAAAAAAACTAAAACACTACCACTCCATGTCCTCATTTTGAAATTGGAGGATGCAGATCATTATCATAAACAGTTGGTGTACTTTTTACAAAAATGATGGAACAATGGACGGTAGTAAGCAAGATATCGGTGGGGATACCTGGGTTTCCTAAAATTTCCTTAAACTGGCTAGCATGTTCCTACCACCAAAGCAGGTAAACATTAAAGAAGGAATAAAGGGCAGGGGGAGGAAAAATAAAAGAAAGGAAATAATTTTGAGAGACTTTGGCCCTTGGTGCTTTCTTAGCATGTAATTTTCAGCCTAGCTATGTAGTAGTTCTCAGGGCACACTATGACTAGTTTTAGAGAAGTTCAATTTTTGAGACTGTTGAAGAAGAAGGAGAGAGGAGGGCTGTTGTAAAGTTATCTAATCTATATTTTTGCTGTGCTGCTTAAATTGCTTTGGCAGCAATATCAGTGTATTTCATGGTTGGAAAAGAATTTTTTGAGTGTTTGGATAGGGAAAGCAATCATTTTCAAGTATGCTTGCCAACTTCTATGAAACAGAAATGACTGGTTAACACTCTGAATTATGATTTAGTACTATCTGATGAGAAAGGGCAAAAGGCCTTAAAATGTATTACTGGGTCTCTCTAAATATTCTTAATACTTTTATTTTTACAAGTACACATTTAAGTCTAGTTTTGAAAATACCTTTAATTTGGCTTTTTTTTGAGCATCCAGAGCAATTCTTCTTAATTCTTCAGTCTCTTTCTGTAACTGTTCATTTTCTTGCTGAAGTTTCAGTCTTTGTTCACTAACAAATCCACAGTTTTCTCTCTCAGATTCCAACGTATTTTGAAGTTTCTGAATCATTTCTTGGGAACGTGATATCTTTTCTGAGGAACTGTTTAAAAACAAAATAAAAACTTAGTGATCTGTAGTAGAAGTCAAGAAGTCCTAATATACTTCATAGTATAGACTTCTATTTTCTTCATTCAGAGCCATTTCTTTTCATGTTAGGCTTAATCTATATGATGTAAAAATGTTATGTTCTATTAGGCACATTCACTCAACTTCAATTTAACTGTTATTCAAATGGAAGATCAACTCCAAGTTTTACTGGCATCAAGAATCAGTGTATATAAAGACTTTCCAAGGGAACAAACTGAAGCCAATAGTAAAAGAGATGAAGTAGGGAATAATCAAAAACCCTTTTCAAAAAACTTCAGGGGGCAAAACACAGCAGCTGATTACATTACTAAATTATAATGATGGAAGCTACTTTCAAGTTTTCCAGTTACATGTCTAAGAAATGATTTTTAAAAACTTTTAGTTTGTAAACAAACAGGTTATGTTTATTAATCTTTCTCAACAGTGGGTGAGACAGCCTCTAAACATGCATGCATTTATCAATACACTGTTAATTTTTATTTCCAGTTAAATTTCCATCTTTTCAATCTCATACAATTAACCACTCTGAACATTTCCTGCTCAATAGGTGTCTTAGGGAATATATAAATGCTACTAATATTGTGATGATTTCAGAAAACTATTAACTAAAATCATCTTACAAATAAAGAAATTTTTAAACAACTTTCAGATGGTGGTGATTTTAGTACCATGATTCAAGTCTTTATGGTCTTTTGTTGGTAGTCTGACTTGCCCATGCCTTCCAATGCTTCAGGCAGAAGTGATGAGTATTTTTCTCTGATCTTTGTCTCTGCCCCCCCATTCCTCCTTTTTTTAAAAAAATTATTTATTTATTTAGAAGTCAGACTTAGAGAGATGTCTTCCATTTGCTGGTTCACTCCCCAGATGGCTGCAATGGCTGGGGCTAGGCCAAGCTTAAGCCAGGAGCCAGGAATTTCTTCCATGTCTTCCTCATGATTGCAGGAGCCCAAGCACTTGGGCCATCCTCTGCTGTTTTTTCCAGGCCATTAGCAGGGAGCTGGATCAGAAGTGGAGCAGCTAGGCCTCAAACTGGCAACCATATGGGATAGTGGTGTTGCAGGTGGCGGCTTTACCTGCTATGCCACATGCTGGCCCCTATGTCCCTTTAGATCCCATATTCATCTCGGTTCTGATTCCTACCCTAAACCTTTCATTCCTATAATACTTGCAGCTCTCTTTCTCTTGTCTATATCTTAGATGATAAAGTTCCTAATGAAATTATGTATATAAGCAATGCTGATAAAACGATACTAGCATCAGAAAGATGCCAAAATAAAACACAACCACACTTCTATGTACTCCCTCAGAGAAGCTTAGAATATCATCAGCTGTAAAGAATTCTTAAAAAGAAAACTGATCTGGTGAGGGCAGATAAAGCCTCTTAGTTTAATCTTCAGTCCTTAGGGACTACAAGGGACAGAGAAACAAAGTATATGATGTCACACATATCCCTATTGGAAATCTACAGTACAAATAAATGTTTTTTCTTTTTTATAGAAAGATTTAATAAATATAAATTTCATAAGTACAACTTTTGGATTATAGTGGTTCTTCCCCCCAACCCACCCTCCCACCCCAAAACCATCCCAGTTCCTACTCCCACTCCCATCTCATTCTTCATTAAGATTCATTTTTAATTATCTTTTTATACAGAAGATCAACTCTATACTAAGTAAAGATTTCAACAGTTTGCACCCCTCCCCAAAGTATAAAGTACTGTTTGAAGACTAGTTTTACCATTAATTTGCATAGTACAACACATTAAAGACAGAGGTTTTACATGGAAAGCAAGTGCACAGTGACTCCTATTGTTGATTTAACAATTGACACTCTTATTAACGATATCAATGATCACCACAGGCTCTTGTCATGAACTGCCAAGGCTATGGAAGCCTCTTGAGTCCACAAACTCTGACATTATTTAGACAAGGCCATAATCAAAGTGGAAGTTCTCTCCTCCCTTCAGAGAAAGGTACCTCCTTCTTTGATGGTCCCTTCTTTCCAACGGGATCTCACTCACAAAGATCTTCCATGTAGGTCTTTTTTGCCACAATGTCTTGGCTTTTCATGCCTGAAGTGCTCTCATGGGCTTTTTAGCCAAATCCAAATGCCTTAAGGGCTGATTCTGAGGCCAGAATGCTGTTTAGGGCATTTGTCAAATAAATATTTTTTCAACAAATTATTTTCAATAAAAAATTATAGTAAAGGGGGACACCAAAGGCAACTTAGAAAATACAGCACTTGCAGCAATCCTCAAGGCAGAGTGGACAAAACTCACACTCAAGAGAAATCCTTTGAATGAAATGACTATAAAAAGCATTTATTATAAAGCATATGATAACAGATACTGAAGAAAAACTCTGTGTAGGAGAGAAAGTGGGAAAGCCTTCCCTAATACCTGACATCTTACTAATCATGTGAGAAGTAATGCTGGTGACAAGCATGGCTTATCAAATCATTCCCATTTCCTTAAGAAAAAGAACTCATATTGGAAAGAAGCCCTGTACATGTAAAGAAAATGAGCTAGAGAGGCTGAAACACAGAGAGAGACTAAGTAATATCTTCCAACAACCACCTACCACAGAGATATCAATTTGAACAGCTACTCATGTACCAAGTCTTCGTAAGAGCTATAGAAGCCAGGTGAGAAGATCACAGCACCTTGTTTTAGTATAGTAATAAGAAAGGTTGTATGGAAGAAAGCAGACAGCAAAGACTTATATCTGTGTGACTCATCCCCTAGCTCGAAGGAATGCTGCATAGTGACAGATGACTCCTGCTTGGGGGAGGGAGAAGGAAATGAATCCCAGTGCTGGGCCCACTGAGAAAAAAAAAATCAGAGTCAGCCTGAAGCTCCTTGTCCCTGCCCCAAGACCCTTACCTACAGACCAAGTACTTGCAGGGGGCCTCTGCCACCCTGCCCCTCAACTGTTGGTAAAAAGTGAAGCAAGGGGTAGGTATTGTGGCCCAGTGGGTTAAACCATGGTTGGGGATGCTAGCATTCCATCTTGGAGAGCCAGTTTGAGTTCCAGATACTCTGCTTCCTTTCCAGCTTCTTGCTAATGCACTTGGGAAAGCAGCAGAAGATGACCCAAGTTCTTATGCCCCTGCCACCCACATGGGAGACCCGGATGAATTGCTGGGCTCCTGCCATCAGCTTAGATCGGCCATTGGGGACATCTAGGGAGTAAACCTGTGGATGGAAGACCTCTCCCTCTGTCTTCCTCTCTCTCTCTGACACTCTGCCTTTCAAATAAATAAATAAATAAATAAATCCTGAAGAAAAGAAGAAGAGAGAGGAGAGAAGCAGAATAAAAGCCAAAGTAAGAGAAGGAGGAGAAGGAAAGCAAAATTCTAGTTGCTTCCAAGAGAGCAGGAGAAGTTCAAGACTTTGGCTTGGAGTTCAGAGCTGAGCATACCACCCTGAGACCCAAATCTGATAAAGCCCCAAGGCATCTTCCTCTGGGTAGTGCTCAGAGTCTCAATCTCCAGGTTTGTCCAGCATCAGGTGGAGATCTGTGCTCCAATGGGATGGACTTATTTTGGTATGTCACTGTCCACCCAAGGGGGCCTGGCATGCACCCCTGGGACAGATTGGGCCTGGTGACTGTGGAACCTAAGTGAGACATACTTTGGTGCCAGTCTGTGTGGTCAGTGGCCTGCTTTTATCACATTTCTCCAAACTTGGTAAAACAGCTAGGAGCCATGGGACTATGTTGTGGCAGTCAGTGCTGGGCTAGTAAAGCCCAGCCCTGGGCAGGTCCAAATTTTTTCCATCCTTTTTGGTACCTATGGACGGAATCACTGGACTTGCTCCAGTATCAGGTGGAGACTTCTGTTGAGGTGCAAAGGTTTGTTTTGGTGTGAATCCCCACTAGCATCACATGGGCCTGGTGTGCACCCCTCAGATTGCCCATGGCCTAATGACTATGAAACTGAGATGTGACCCTATCTAGTGCCTGCCTGCATAACTGAGAAGTTGCCCCTATCACCTCTCTTACAACACTGGGCAGACAGTAAGGAGCCACTGGACTATTTTGGAGCTCAGTACCAGAATGGAAAAACCCAGTATTGAGTAGATCCTAACAGCCTCTGTCCCCAGGTCAGGGCCTATAGACAAGAGCCTCTGGACTTACTTCCATGAACAGGGGAATTCAATGGTTCCAGGTTATCAGTCTTATATGCCAATCAGCATCACCAACAGTGGTAGGTAGGAGCAGCATCAGGCAGTGAGTCTACATCAACATCATACAGACCACAGCAGGGTGAATTTTAGTCATATCTCCAAGTTGCACTGGCCTAGGTGGGCTGTAGGTTCTGTGTGTGATCTAGCATTGTAGCATTCATTGGTGAACACAAGACACCAAAACGTCCATACTACCAAAGAAATTTACAGATTCAATGTGATTCCAAACAAAATACTAACAGTATTCTCAGATCTAGAAAAAATGATGCTAAAATTCATATGAAAACAAAAGAGACTCCAAATAGCTAAAGGAATCTAACAGCAAATAGAAAGCCAGAAGCAAAACAATATCATATTTCAAGATGTACTACGTGCAGTTATAATCAAAACAGCTTGCTACTGGCACAAAAACATGCATGTAGACTAATGGAATCAACATAAGAGAAATCATAAAATTAATTCACACATCTATAACCAAACTACCTTTGAAAAAGGATTTAAAATCAATCCCTGGCACAGCAGACTCATAGAATGGCAGATGTCTTAAACAGCACTCTGGCCTCAGAGTCAGCCCTTAAGGCATGCGGATCTGGCTGAAGAGCCCATGAGAGTATTTCAGGCATGGAAAGCAAAGACACTCTGGCAGAAAAAAAAAAGACTTAAATGAAACAACTCTGTGAGTGAGACCCCAGTGGAAAGAACGGGCCATCAAAGAAGGAGGTACCTTTCTCTGAAGGGAAGAGAGAACTTTCACTTTGATTATGACC